CTAGAATTTTCAGTACCGGGTTAAATAGAAGTGATGAAAATAGGCTATTTTTCTTTCTGTTATTAATTTCTAGTTTTATTCCATTGTGGTTAGAAAAGATATTTGGTATTATTTCAGCCTTCTTAAGTTTGTTAAGACTTGTTTTGTGCCTGACATATGTTCTATCCTGAAAAATGCTCCTACAGAGATTTAAAGGAATGATTTTTCTGCTTCTGTTAGACAAGTTTACAATATTCTCTGTAACACAGTATATATGCACGTAGGTAGGTGTGTATGTATGGACATATGTACATATGTATGTACGTATGTATGTACTATACCTGTTCAGTCCATTTGGTCTATATATGCCCCAAGGTCTGTGTAGGATAGGTTCCAGAGCCCTGAAGATACCATAATCCAGAGATGGCCAAGTCCCTTATAAGAGAAGGCGTGGTGTTCATACATAACCTGCACATCTTCCCATATTTTTAAATAATCTCTAGATTATTAATACCTAGTAAAATGTAAATACTATGCAAATAGTCATTATACTACATTGTTTAAGGAATAACAGGAAAAGTCATCTCATGTTCAATACACAGGACTTTGGTGGATATTTTTTGTCTGTGGCTGGTTGAAAATGAAAATCAGAATCTGCTAACTGAAGTGCTGTTCATGTCCTCCCCTTCTTAGTTCATTTTCTGTGGAGTTGTTTTTGGAAGTGGGGTTCTGAGCTCTTCTAGTATGATAATATTTCCATCACTTTCTCCTTTTATTTCTGGAAATGATCTATGTATTCTTAAATCTAAAATAATTCTCTGTAGACAGCATATCATTTGATCTTGTATTTTTGTTCATTCAATTTCACTCTTTTGTTTAGGAATTTCAAAAACTTCGCATTTAAAATAATGATTGATAGTGAAGAACTTATGATCTATAATTTTGTTATTTTTATCTACTTATACATTTTTCATCCCTCTTTTTCTCTCTTACAATCTTCATTTCCGTTTGTAGCAATATGCTTTGATTCTTTTCTGATTTTCTTCCATGAGTCTTCTATCGTTATATTCTCTGTAATTAAAATGGGGCTTAAACAAAAGACCTTGTAGTTATAACAATCGATTTTAAGCCAATACTTACTTCAATTGTGTAGAAAACTCTACATTTTTACTCTATGGAAAATATTGAAAGAAGTAAGATGAAGAAAGATGTTTTATGAAGAAAAAGAATAGTAAATTATTGATTTGAATGTTGTGGGTATACAGGGAAGACAAGTAAATTGCGTTTAGAAACTTGCAAACATTAGTCAATGTGGAACATATAAATAGAAAAGAAGCTAATATTTACTGTATCGCTATTATATTTCAAGCACTGTTTTATTTATTTCTACAGAAACTTAATGATGCTGATGGCATCATAAACCTATAGATAAGAAAACTAAAGTCACTTACCTAGGAAGAATCTAGTCATTTTTATACATTTCAAATTTTTATGCTTGGAATATGTTAAATGTTAAACAAATATGCATAGCTTAAACAAGTAAAAGAAAAAAATCACATTAAATTATATTGACAAGTTACATAAAGTGCCTGCGAGCAGGCACAGGGACCAGGGTTGGATCCCCAGGCCTGCCATGCTAGCCCTACCCCCGGGGCCCGCTGAGATGGCAATTGAGACTGGGCATTGTGGTGCGTGCCTGTAATCCCAACTCCTAGGAGGATGTAAACAGGCAGATCACTACGAGTCCGATCTAGTACTGAGACCCTGAACACCACACCCTGTCGACCCTTCCCTAAAACACAAGAAAAAAAAATCAAGTTGTGATTGCATGCATTTTAAATTAAAAACTTTTTAAATATATGATAAATATGAACCAAATATTGACAGCTTCAAAATGATTATAGAATAAATCCCATTAATTTTTGTTTCTTGGGAGCCCCCGTATATGTCTCCTAATTATGTCTACCTTTTCCCTCCCTGTATTTAGTGGTAATCTTGCTCTTATTTTATCAGGCTTTTGTCATCTGCATATATATTCCTACAATAGCTGTTGCTTAGCTTGTTTTATAAATTCACAAAGATGAAATTATATTATCATGTCTTACAATGACATTCATATTCATCTCAGTCTTGATTTATTAATCTAGGTTAATGCATATAGTTATATATTATCTTCTCAACTTAATTTTGTATGATGCATACAATTATAGAGTTCATTTTAATCTGTCTAGTATAGTGTAGTATACTAAACTAAACCACTATATAGATTTACTACAATTTTAAAACTAATTCTAATGTTAATAGACATTTAGGGCTTATGGTTGCATGTGTGCTTGTAAAGATTGGGTAAAGTTCCTTTGGAGATTCATTGATCTGTTTTTAACTATGAGATTAAGGTCTTTAAATTGGCTATGTACAAATAAGTCTTCTCTGCTCTTATGATTTTTATCTGCTAAATCTATTAATTACTATTATATAATTATA